CTGCCCAAGTGTCTTTCTCTTTCTTGTTTTATACAATTTGCTTCAACTGTATATGTATAACGAATTATACAGTTTCTATATTTGCTATGGAGCGTAATTATGCAAACTTTGCTATAGCATACAAATATGATTTTTTTGTTTACTATATGTGAAAGTTACCTTAAAATAATATATTGCATTGAAATAGACATGGTCATTTTGGACTCGTTTTGTGTTTCTTGATAAAAAAAAATTAATTAGGGGTCTCATGCATATTCTCTAGTAAAATGATATATATTCTCGTCTCTACATCTCTATTCTCTTCTCGAAACTTAGTTTCTGATGAACTCTCAACACCCCCATCTTTCATCCACCCCTCTTCCAATTTCGAAGTGTTTGCGTAATTATATATTATAGATTTTTTTGAAATAATAATTCTTCATCGTACCAAACATATTGTTATTTTAATATATGAAAAGATAACAGGCTCTAATAGCCACATACACATAGTTTTGTTGATGCCGACAAATAAATGCTAGTGGAAAATGTCGAATAGTCACTTATCAATTGTGTTGACAAAACGTCTTGTTTGTTAGTTCTACTTATCACAAATATGTATTAATTAATTATTCTAACCAACCAACCACTAAACTCAAAAATTATTATTGAGTCGGATTCATTCATAAGAATACTGTTAATTAGCTCGTTAGCATATATTAACTAGCATCCTTTTATTTGTGTTTATGAAATATAAAAATTAAATACATTCACAATAGGAGTGTATGGAGAAATCGAAGGATTAATTTTACCGTTTTAATTTTCAAAAAAGCATTCAGTTTATATAACATATTAACATCGCAATTGACTTTTCTCTATTAGTAAATTTTCAATTATACCATAATTTTCACTTGCCCTTCTTCAATTTGAACGATATACTATTTGATTAAACACTTTGAGAAGAAACAGCAAATTAGGGAAAATATTGTCTCACACCATAGCATAATTAACAAACATTACATACATGATGACATTTTATTTTATAATTCTTACAAAATGTTCTAGTAATTAAATTAAAGTAGCAAGAGTTTTAATCACTAATATTACACCTTTGCCATTATAAAATTTATATATATTGCTTCCCATTATTAACAGCAACTATAGCACTCATAGTTATTGCCGTTGCAACAACCATTGCGGCAGTACCCTACACCACCACCACGTCCACCGCCAGGGTATCCACCGCCGCCACGTCCACCGCCAGGGTATCCACCACCACCTCGTCCGCCGCCAGGATATCCACCACGTCCGCGACCACCGCGGCCACCACCGGGATATCTGCCTCTACCACGACCGCCGCCAGGGTAGCCACCACCACCACCGCGGCCACCGCCAGGGTATCCACCTCCGGGGTAGCCTCCGCCCCCACCAGGGTAGCCACCACCACCGGGGTATCCACCACCACCGCCAGGATATCCGCCACCACCGCCGGGGTATCCGCCACCAGGGTAGCCACCAAATTGGTCTTCATGTACTACATTCTTGTTATTGGATTTCTTTGCTGTATCAATTGTGTAAACAAGAACGTTACGACATTAACCTATTTTTAAAATTTGTATTCTCAAATATATGATGACATTTTTATGATTATAAATAGGTACTCCAAAACATATACGTACCTTAAACAGTATTATAATAAATTTCTTTTATTTTTTTAAAAATAAATACTTCTAATAAATTATTTTTCACGAAAAACATTTTTCTTCGTACCAAACTCAACTATAAAAGGAACAAATAATGAGAGGATTCTTACGCTTATCTTCTGAAGTCTCACTCAACTCTTTAGCTACAACCTCAGAGCTTATCATTACATAAATAGCCAAAAAAAGGCCAAGGAACATAAATGTCTTAGAACCCATTTTTTCCCACTAAACTTTACTATGATACTTGAAATTATAGGATGGAGAAACTCATGTATAATTGGTCTCAATATATAGTATGATTTGAATGTATTACAAATGGTAGGGGAAGGACATTATGTGGAGGTGTGAGAGGTGCATTTATGGGATGTGCTTTTGGCAGGTGAAGAGGGTAAAGAATTCCTAATTATTGGGCTAATATTATGGAATTTAAGTTATATATATTATTAATTTAAAAATAATTTATTTAGTTACATTATTTTTATTGTTGTCGTGCTTGTTCACTTTGAAATAACTTCAAATAAAATATGTTTTAAGTTAAGATATTTTAATGTAAAATGCAATAAAATAGTTGAACATCAATCATATATATATATGAATTTTAGATAAGATTATACTGAAAAAGCCAAAGTTTAATTATATATGGTTAGAGTTCAAATAAAATGATTGAACTTTGGTCCAGATAACTAACTGAACTTCAGTCACATGCGTATAAATCTCAAACCCTATAAAACATAAAATATTTTGTTTTAATTTTAGTTTCATCAAACCTAACTTCAAATCCGATTGAAATTATTCAAAAATGGATAGATTTAAAAGTTTTTATGAAGTATGACTGGAAATGATAATCTCAAAATCGAATATTTATGTACTTCGACCCGCTATCGGGGCTCGCCAAATTGCAAATTAGCTAACTTTTATTCTAAGATTAATTTTGTTAACCACTTATCTCTAAAATTTCTCTAAATATTTTGTACACTTCATTATAAGATCTTCAAAATCCTTTTTCGCAACAAATTAGTAGACGACGGCTCTTGTGGGGAAATTGTACATTAAATGTTGATGTATGGTCGGATTATTATGCAATAATTAAAATAAATTATTTGCTCAACTTGTAGGACAAACTTTATCCAGAAAAATCTCGATTTAAAGAATTTAAATTATATATATTGATAATGTAAGTAATTTTTACTACTATCAAGGTAACATATTATGTTCAGTTGTTTTTTATTATTTCTAAATTGCCTGCAAAAATCATTCATGTAATTTATATCAGATATGTGAATTTAAATTATATTATATGAATTTTCTCGTAAAAATAAAATAATTTTTTTTTATAAATGACATAAAATCTTGATTGTCTCCTCATCCACCGTTGCATCCCCTTGCCAACTCAAATCGACCATCATATATCAATATTGTTTGAAATACTTAATATTTTCAATTAAAAAAATTATAATATATACTTTTTACCTACTAAACACACTTTTAATGTAAAGTTGAATAAAATAAAAAGAGGACAAAGTGAAATAGATAATTAATAGAGTTTAGAAGAGTATATAACAGCTACTAATTAAATGTTATATTATATAGTTGCTATTTATTGTTGAATTAAAGGTGAATGACTTATTAGTTGACTTATTAAATAATCCCAAGTGGCAAAATGTCAATCACTCACTTATCAATTATGTTGACTAGGTCTTCTTAGACTCCCACCCCAACTACCCAAACCCCCCAACCACCCTCCATTACTGCTCAAGCTACCAAATTAATCACTTGAAAATTTAAAAATTATATCATAATTCTTTTTACTTAAAAAAATTTTAACGAGATATATTATTTATATATATATATATATATTTTTAAAAAATATCATAAATTATAGCTAATACAAACGTAAATATTAGCTTCTATATCTTCACAACTTTCTATTAATCATAATTTCAAATCTATGTCATGGTCATGATAATCTCTTATAGTACGTAGGTGCATGCGATTTCTAGCCCAAAAATTAAAGCATAGATAATAACTAACAATAATACAGAATAACATGTCACTTATCAGTTGACTTATCAATATTATTCAGTCTTTGCTTTCACACTATACATTGAATTTTTTATTTTTTAAAAAATAAATTTCTTATAAATAAGGAAAATAATTTCTGAGTGTAAAACTAAAAGTAGATAAAATATGTTACGTAACTAATAGTTCACATTATTAATTATATCATTTTCATCTTCTAACAAAGTAAACTTTATTTTCATCCCTACCTTCCTTGACATACCTCTCTTTGTTATATTATTTATTTTAATTATATACAAATAATTTAAAGATTATACTTACGTATAAACTAATCACTTCTTTTATCACATAAATATTACCTAGTGGCCTACGTACATCGACTGACAAAACAAATTAAACACAGAGATTTTAAAGTAGATAATAATCAAAACATATTAGAATAACTTTAAAAAATAATATGCATGTGATTGATATAATTATATATTTCAATAATAAATCTTCATGTTAACTTGTAGGACAACCTTATCCTAAAATATCTAGAAATAGTGGTGTTTATATACTCTTAGATTTGGTCAATACTCAAAGATTTAAATGACGTATTTAATGACTCTTTTATTGTGCAACGTATCAAGTTTTAATAAGAGGGGCCAACTCTCTTCATTTGCTTTATAACTCACGAAAAGTCTTCTTAAAGAAAAAAATACATAAAATGTCATTTAATAGACTTAATCGTTGTCTATAAACACTTAAATTTATACATATATAATTCATGAACAAGCAAGCACACATATTTTATGTGATAATTAGCATCGTGCATGTTGTCCTATATGTATTATGTCATATAAAATTTGTACATCTACTTGTTCAATTTTATACAAATTTAAATTTTTATTTGTGCACATCTAAAATTGAAAAATTATCAGATGTCAGTTCATGAAGTAAAATTTAAAAACACATTCATGCATTATGTCAAAAAGTAATTATATACACAAAATATAGATAGAAATAATAAATAACCAAAAAAATATATAATCCCCACCAATCTAATATTAATATAAGATTAGAAATATATATTTTGCCCAACATGACGAGACTTATTAAAATCTTTTTCCTTGATTCATGATCATGTAACTAATTTGAAAAGCTACTCACCTGTTTATCTTTTTTATGTTTTGATTATTTTTTAAAATTTCAATTTCAGCCTTGACTAAAATATTCAATGAATAATCAAAAAATAAGAGATGATTTGACTTTTCAGCTTGATCATATTATCAGTCTCCAATCGCATATGTTTTAATTTTTATTTCTTCTGTGTTTATATTTTAAAAAATTATTATAAAAATCTTTTTTTTATTTGTTAACTTTATTAAATAACAAGAAAATTAGATATTTTTAATTTTTTCCCACGATGTTGAATATCTTTAGGGATGCCTTAAATAAATTGGATTTGTCCAAGATAAATTAAAGTGCTATGTAACAAAAGTAATTTTATTCTTGAAGCAAGAATTTGAACCTGAAACATATAATTAACGTAAAAATAAGAAAGAAAATTAAAACGTTATGGAAACATTTTTAAACACAATATGATATATATTGTACAACAAAACATTACATCATGACCAACCATTCATAGTACGTAAATGAATGGCTTTATTCATACTTGTTACAAGCAAAGGGTCTTAATTAAGTAGCAAGATTATTATTATCTTGTCACTTAATTTCAAAAGTTTACAATAATAATAAATACACATAATTAAGCACTAATTAATTATTTAGTTTTGAGTCTGGGCAGCAACATATTCTTCATAAGAGCAGCAGTATTTTTTGCATCCATATTTGTATTTTTTGCAGCAACTGTAACATTTCTTACGTTTGCCATAGCCCTTGCCATAATAATGATCGACGTTTACTGCATTCTCGTTATCCAATTTCACCGCTGCATCGATGAATTATGAAAATTAATCATGAATAGTCTCTGAATTGAACTTCAATTTATATGTTGTACTTTTTTTAAAATTATATTTCAAAATGAGTACTCCTCTTCCTATATATATTTAATTGTGATTTTTTCTAATTCCAATATAACATATGATAACAAAACTCATAGGACATTTATAATATAATTTACATGCCTTTAGTTTAGTTTAGCAAAGATTGGGAAGTTTATGGTATAATCTTACACTTTATGCGTTGTAATTGAGACATATATAAAATAAAACAAAAGGAATATATATTAAATGTCATGATCAAACTATAGCAAGATTGAAATTTTTGGATTTGGTTTCCAATAATTTTTATAAAGTAGACAAATTTTATTCCCCCCCCCCCCAAAATGTACCCTACCAATTATATTTTCTTACAAAATATTTTTCATGAAAAATATTTTTTTTATCGAACACGAACAAATGAAAAGAAATGCTTACCATTGGTAGTCTCAGCTGCCAACTCCCTAGCTGCAACCTCAGAGCTTATCATTAAGAAAATAGCCAAAAAAAGACCAAGAAACAAAATTGCCTTGGAACCCATTCTTAATTATTATTTTTTTGTTCAAAACTTCGTACTAATGAAATATGAAAATTGAGGGATGAAGAAACTAATGCATTTTTGGGCTCTATTTATAATAAGATTTTGAATGCATAAATTGAAGGTGTGAGGGGACATGCAATTATTGTATGGACCAAAGAAATGAACAACTTGCTTTACAAGTGGTAGATAAATAGAGTGTTTGATTTAATGTATACTGTCGTGTTGGTGTTGTGGTGGAGTCGTAAATATTTTTTATATTTCATAAAGATGAAAAAAACATAATTATATAAATTTTATCTGTTTGTATTTTAAAAATCTTAAATATTCAAAGTAATTAAATTAAGAGTTAAAACATATTAAAACACCATTAAGACTTTTAGTAAAAGTAGAAAGACAAAAGTACATACGTTAATACTATAACAAAAATGTTGATAGAATTTTTTTTCGTCTTGTCAATATAATTTTGAATATTAATCAAAACTAAGTAACATATTCCATTTTCAAAAAGGAAAACATGAGAACTAATTGAAAAAATAAAATTTGGAAACTAACTACACCCATAATTGAGTAATTATTCGATATAATTAATATAAACAAAACAATAATAATTAAAAAATAATTTATAATTACAAAAATTTCTCCAGTTATTTTAAATTATAAATTTATTTTATTTCTCTTAAAATCCATACATCAAACAGACAAATCTAAAGCACGTGCATGGAGTTGATGACCCATCATTTAACGTATGTAGAAAATGTCAAACGGTCACTTATCAGTTATTCAGCCGCCACGCCACGTAATTAGTTACATCTCCGTTTTAATTTATTTAACTTATATTTTACTTCGTCTTAAATTTCTACGTGACATAATTATAAAGTTTAGTAACGTTTTGTTACATTTTACTAATCTTTTAAAGATTACAAGATTCAATTTTTTTTTTACTTATGAAACATTAAAATCAGATAAAAAATTAAAATGGAAAGAATAATCTTTATCTACGACTTTGATATACACTAAATAAATCAGATAATGTTTAATTTTTAAAAACAAAATAAATATATATTTTTGTGATGGGAGTGAATCTTAAACAAAAGAAGAAATGCTTTAGTTAAATATGATTTTAAATTTTAAAAAGTAAAATCTCTGAGAGTATTATATAACTATATTTTTAAAATTATATTATCATAATATAAATTTGTTTACTTTTTATATCACTACATCCATTTTTATTTGTATTATAGTGTTTTTTGAAATTTAATTTGATTAATTTCTAAAGTCAAATTAGATTATATTAATTTGACATTTTAAATAAAAAATTGAAATAAAAAATTACTAAAAATATTATAAATTGTATTTTTTTTCATATCATATTTTAAAGGGATTGAAAAAATTAAACATAATTTCAATTTTAATTTTAAAAAATAAAAATAAACAATATTTAATTTTTCATATCAACGTCCACTTATATTAAAACTAACATCATATAATATTTTAATCAACAAGACACTTAAATACATACGATATTTAGGATAGACGATAGAACATGTAGAAATGTGACAATAATCACATAATACTTTCAACATATCAATTGTTAAGTTATAGAAATCTTAGTAGCTCAATAATCTCCTCGCCCATTTCTTCCTATCCATCCTCTATTTCATTTTTATAAAAAATTGTAGGACTACCTTATCCTAAAATATCTAGAAATAGTGGTGCATATATGCGCAATCTTCGATTTGGTCAAAACTAAAGACTTAAATGACGTATTCAATGACTCTTTTAGTGGACTATCAAATTAATTTAGAGGGACCAATATGAGTTGTGGTGTACTGCTTGATTCATATCTGAGGTTTTCGTTGAATTTTAGAAATGGAGAAAATTTCGTTAGAAGCGTCACTCTTGAATGAGCTCTGCAGAGCACGATTCGAATTTAAGCTTCAATATGAAATTCGAAAACTGAGTGGAAAACCAAAAACAAGTTAAAGAAGAGGGTCCACCAATAAGCAAATGTAATATAACGGATGAGATTAATTCTCACTTAATTAAAGGACTTGAATTTGTATTTTGAGCATGAAAAGATTCTTAATAGAAAACACTCTTTCAAATAAAGTTTCGCGCGATACCATATTCAAAATAAACAAACTTTAATATAAACATCGAATATCGAATTGAAAAAAATTAAATAAAGGGGGCCCAACTCTCTTCATTTGCTTTATATATAACTTATATTCAGGGGGTAATAAGACCTTAGTATAATATAAGTGTATCTCTAGAATTTCAGATATAGGTTAAGGGGTACTTGTGCATTTTCCTTATATAAAATATAATTTCTGACTTACACATAACTTAATTTTTAGATATACCATATAATTTTTTAATAAAATATTTAGTAGACCATCTTTTTAACTATGTATCAACACAAATGTGAAATATTCATACTACCAATGCAAGAGTCACAAATGTTCATCGACATTTTTCAATTAAAATTCTGACTCCATCACACCCTGCATGGTCAAATTGTTGTTCTTTGAAGCTGTGTCGATTTTTTCCTCTCTACTTTTTTTTTCTTGATGAAGTGGCAATAGATAAGTGACTATTGGACTTTCTTAAACTCACATTACAAGTCTCTGTCACTTATGCTATAATTTTTTATTTTTTTAATTACCCATTTAGGAAAAAAAAAAGAAAAAGAAAGGAAAGATAGTACTAAGCCTTTGTTGTTTGTCTTGTTTTTTTATTTTGAGTAAAATAATATCGAAAGACTTGTCAGTTGTCCCCTATTATTTGACTTAATTAGAAATTGCAACTGCATGCATTGAAAAAAAAAATATGCATTCACATATTCAAATCTAAATAGAGATTTAAATTTTTTTAAAAATACGTATTTTTTTTAAAAAAAATAATTTGTTTAAGTTTTAGCTGAACAGTAGCTAGTTAGAAGTGGTATATGTTTGATGAAATAGTCAAGATACACGTAAATTAATCCACATACGTTATGAAAAGTTTAAATTTATTTTAACCGTAGATATAATGAATGAACGTTATGCATGAATTTAATCACATGTTTCATATTATGTACTATGTTTATTTTATTCTAATCGATAAATATTCATCAATAATATTCACTAATTATATTTTTTACGAACCAACTTCATAAACACAATAAGTGTTATGTTACTATTGAAATTAGTATTGATCTTGTTGTTTAATAAATAATGCATTCAAATCACCCTTTTATTCATGTTGTAAGTTTTTTTTATATATATTATATACTCTGAAATCATTATTTTTTTCTTATACAAATCAAATGACCCTTTATTGATTCAACAATTTCCTTTAGATTTATGTGAAGAATTTTCTTCAAACATAATCTTGATTAGGATGACTTTTAACTTATTTTTTCTTAAAAATCGACTGTTAATTCAATAATTTCTTCACCTACCAAAAGAAAAATTACTTGTCCACGTCTTCAATTACTAATATTTTAAAATACGTGTCACCTTATATTTACAAATATGCCCTTTCCTTCAATCTCTAATACATTCATTTCTTATTATAAATAGAGCTCAATTATGCATCAATTTCATCATCCTTTACTTAATATAATTAAGCTTTAGTGAAAGAAAAAAAATGATGGGTCCCAAGGAATTTATATTTCTTGGCCTTTTTGTGGCTATTTTTGCAATGATAAGCTCAGATGTTGTAGCTAGGGAGTTGGCTGAGACTTGTAAGATTACTTTTTCCTAATTTTATCATTTATCTCTTTGAAACATTGAATTTCTTGTCTAATTATTTTACATATATGTAGCGTTATGCTGATTTTAGAATTTCACAATTGGTGTAGCATTGGAATCAGATAACAAGAATTACGAACATACTGACGGACGTAGCAGATATAACGGATATAAACCCCCACATGACGAATACAACAATGGATATAAACCTCCAGGTAGTGGATATAAACCTCCAGGTGGCGGATATAAACCCCCACACGGTGAATATAAATCTCCAGGTGGTGGATATAAACCCCCACATGGTGAATATAAGCCTCCAGGTGATGGACATAAACCCCCACACGATGAATATAAGCCACCAGGTGGTGAACATAAACCTCCACACGATAAATATAAGCCTTCAGGTGGTGAATATAAGCCTCCAGGTGGCGGATACAACCCTCCACATGGCGAATATAAATCGCCTAGTGGCGGATATTATCATCCAAGTGGCAGAACTCACCCCCCAGGTAGTGGTGGTGGTGGACATCCCCCACATGGCGGATATAACCCTCCAGGTGGAGACCATGATTAAGTGACTAGCCAATTTCCTCACAACACATCATCACTATCATAAAACTATGGTATACGTACGTAGTGGCAAGATTAGTACCAGTAATAGTCTTGCTGCTTTTAGACCAGATTGTTGTATCAATAGTATGAATAAAAACACATGATATATATTGTTGGTCATATAATATTTTGTAGTACAATATATTACATGATGTAATGTACGTTTCTTCTTATTTTACACTTCATTATTGAAAATTACTTCCCCATCCCTAATGTTATTTGCTAGATAAATTCAAACCAACAAATTTGTTAAAAATATATATATATAAAAAAATTCATCATATTGATATAAAATAAAACGGTCTCCAATCCCCACCCCCTCCAAATTCAAAACACAATCTACTCTAAAATGAAAAGAATTAGAAATTATAAGACCCCATGATTTTCTAGATTGTGTTGGAAAACATAAATGATCAATTAATATCATTTGTCTCGATGCTTTTTTATTGTTATAACGAAATATTGTTATATAAAATATATAATCTAAATAACATAAAAGAAAATTTTCAAAAATTACCTAGTTATTTATATTAAAATTTAATTAATATATAAATAATTAATAATCTTATAGACACGTAAAAAATCCTAACTTTGCTTCTATTTTAAACTAATTGGCAAGATGTATTATTATAACAAGTAGTATGAACAAAATTAAAGCCCGTTACTAGTTCATCACTATCCCACGAAAATATCCAATAATCATTATAGGCAAACTTTGAACTTAAAATTTATGAGTTTCTAGATAACGTCAAGTTCATGCAAATCAGTAATAAAATTGCTAGATCCTCATGTACCCATGTGAATAAATTTAAAACTAGAGAAAGGTTTCTAAATTTTATTTATTTTAAGAAAATATAAGATTTAAATCAAGAAATTCGAAATCTCTCTTTTTTGAGCAATCAAGATTAAGGTATTTCAAGTTAATTATCTTTTTAGTGATAATTTCATAAACAACCTCTCATGTTTGACTTCATTAACACAAGTTTTCCTTATGATTTGTTATATTTATTATTAATACCAATTAATCATATGAAATGACTTGATGTTACACGGTTAAATTAAAAGCACTTTTTTTTAATCATTTATCAATATCGACTCTGAGGTACAAAATTGAGTACCACATAAATATTATACGGATTAATAATATGAAAATGATAGTATTTGATAGCTTTTACAACTCGTGAGGTTTTATTTTTGTGAAAAGCAAAATACAATTTAAGAAATTCAATTGCACGTTGATACAAAAGAACTTCTAACTTAAAATCAATGTGATTTGAGCTTATGATTCTATATAGCATATCCAAACAAATCTTTAATGTCGTTTGATAATTACTGTACATAGATCTATATTTTTAGTGACTTTGTCATTTTGATGTGTTTTATGTACTAATTTAATTAAATGATTCACCATTATTGCGGATTGATTCAAATTAACTCAAAAATTAGATTTAAACATTATGAGTACGGTTAAGGTTTTTAGAGGTTTTAACCAAACTAAGCCATTATATATAGCAATTCACCAAAATAATATATTTTTCCAAAATTTTACAAAACTAGTATAAACGTATTCCACAGTAACGTTTTAGGATATATTTTATTTTTTAAAAGTTGATGGCGTCAGATTGATATACGTTATTCACAGTAACGTTTTACTCCTAAAACATTACTCACAGTAACGTTTTAGGAGTAAAACGTTACTGAAAATAACGTTTTAAAAGTAAAATGTTACTTACAATAACATATATCAACCTAATGCTATTAGTTTTTTTAAAATAAAATATACCCTAAAACATTACCGTGAAATACGTTTATACTAATTTTGTAAAATTTTAGAAAAACGTATTACATTGGTAAATTATTTTATATAATGACTTAGTTTGGTTAAAAATTCACGTTTTTAGTGTTGAACTATTTGTAATTTTGAAGTTATGAATTCAGAGATATCATTTGTTGCTATATGAATAAATTGTTAAATAGAAATTTATGTCTCACATTAAAAGATTAAGTTCAGATAAATCCGATGTCCCAATTCTATTTTTACTTAGATAAATCTGATGTACCAACTCTACTTTTACCTCTAACAAGAATGTTCCACTTTAGGGTTAAAGTGTTCTCTATCAAAATTTAATCTCAAATTTTGAATTTAAAAACGTAAAATTAAAAGTAGAAGATACTTATCAA